GTGAGTACAGTAACTAAAATATACAAAAAGTAATCACCACTCACATGTGTCATTCTCTATAATCTGAATTAAGGTCAACACTATATTTCCTCTCTGCAGCTCCAGGACGGACTCGCTGTGTTGCTATGTAACGTGAAGGCCTGTAAGCTGAGGGGCGTGGTCTCCCAGGCTCGCATCCTCTGTTGCTCCACCTCTGACGACTGCATAGAAGTACTAGCCCCGCCCACCGGCTCTGCTCCTGGTGACAGAGTGACCTTCCTCAACTACCCTGGTAACCATGGTTACTGCGATGAATCTCCGCATTGAGTCTTTCAAGGCTCGATGAAAAAGGCTTTTGAAAGATACGGCCCTTGAATTTTGACGCAGACAGAATAAATCTGAATTGAAGTAACTGTTCATCCAACATGAGGATGTTTTCCAGAAACAACATGAGTTTCTCTGTGTACGTTGAACCTCAGGAGGTCTGACCTCGTTGTTCTCTGTGTTCAGGTGACCCGGACAGAGAGCTGCAGTCCAAACAGAGGCTTTGGGAGCTTCTTCAGCCTGACCTGCAGGTGGACAACAGGGGCGTGGCCAACTATAAAGGCTGTGGGTTCGAGGTGAAGGGGAAGGGGCTGTGCAGGGCCCCCTCCCTCACCAACTGCACCATCAGATAGACAACATGAGGGACCTAACACATATTAATCACTATAAGTTAGTGCTGTCAGCTAACAAAAGAAGAAAACATCACATCACTATTCTTCATTGATTAAAAACACTTGAAACCACAATCATCTGTTTCCTGGAGGTTCTTTTTTACATCAGACTTTCAGGACAGCTGAGAATACGTCATGGTGACGTATTTCAACTCGGACATCATCGAACAAAGATCCTCATAACTACAGTGTACGTGAGTGGTCATGTGAAATGTGTTTTCAGACGTGTTAGTATGGACGGAGCCTCAGAGTGTGAACTCTGTCCTGACTTTCACGGCTCTGTGATGGTTTCTGGCTGAGAGGCGGAGCACTCGATCTCTCAGCGGTTGTCCTCTGATCAAGGGCCAATCGCAGCTGTTGTCCAAGAACAAGACTCCACCCGCTGCCTCATTGGACAGAGCTGTCAGCCAATCAGAGGTCTGTGTGAGGTAGACGGAGGGATGAAGTGCTGCCTTCTCCAGGTGATCGGCATGTGTGAGAATAAGTAAGGCATGATGACGCCATTCTGGTCCGAAGAGCGTCTGAACACACACACACACACACAATATATAAAGAAATATAAAACACAAAATCAGTTTATGCAGAACAATATATATAGAGTGGTTGTTCATGTACCTCCAGATGTGTCTCCACATGTGTGTTTTCATGTGACCGGTCGGCCCTCACAACGACCACAAGCACGTGCACGCCATCAGGACAGAGCTTGTGCACACTCTGCGGCTGGGGCAGCAGAGGTGGCGTGTCAATCACTCTCAACGTAAGGTCAGACTCCGCCCCCTGTCGTCTGAAATACCGCGGGAAATTTCTGCTGAGAACTTGGAACTCTGTCGTCATGGAAACACCAGAAATGTGGGCGCCTGTCTGAAACTCATGTCCGCCTGCGAAATATATGTATATAGAGAAAACAATTTTTTTTTAAATTTCTGTTTATTTAAACTTCAAAACATGAATTAACATTGAAACTTTGGAAGCTCAAGAAAAGTTAATAAAGTTAGTATTTACTTAAAAGTGCAGTAGTTTGATGTTATAAAAACTATCATAGTTGGCGAGCTAATAGCGAACAGGCTAATAAGCGAGGAACATCACTAGTTGATATTAAAAGTTCAATTTTAAAAAGATGTGACAGAATCTAGAACTGACCAATCAGAGCGTTGCCCACGGAGCTCCTCCCACTCTGCATGTCACCAAGCAACAGCACGTTCAATGTCAGCACTTCCTGCTCGTTGTCGTGTTGGTGATTCCACCTGCTGAGCATCGTAACAAGGCTGTTGCCATGGTGATTGCGATCCCTGATGAAATCCATCTGAAGATACGATGGAACAATTTCTAAAATAAATACGGCGTACCAATTAAGTTTTGCAGTTTAATGTTAATAGTTGTCAACTTCAAATCCTGAATCCACCTGTTTCATATGATTATTTAGATTTGATTTGTTTTTGCAAATTTCAAGTTTGGATAAAAACTTTTGAAAAACTATTGAGTAGATAGGAAACAATTCTCAGAATAAAGCAAACTATTGCTTCAATTACATGAAATGTGTTGGATCTTTTCTTGTTGTTTCAAATTATGGCAACAAAATAAAAAGGTTCAACAGAATTCACCAGTAAACAGAATCTACAAGTCTTACCTGGTTTAATGGACCAGAGAGCAAAGACACATTTCCTGGACTAAATTATAAGGCAGGTTGTGCGTGTGTAGGAGTGGCTGCTGGTTAAATAATAACCCACTGTTGGTCGCTCTACAGTTTTATTGGGTTGTAAAAGTGACAAACATCCCTGTTTGAATTTAAAGAGACACATCAAAAGGGATGTGTAGTGTAGTGTTGTGTAGTGTGTTGTACAGTCGCCTTTTTGTTTTTAACAATCAAATAAAATCTAAATCATCTAAATCCGAGATAAATATTAACCTTGTGTTTTTTTGTTAAGATAATGTTGATATAAAATAGTTGTTTCTAAAATGACTCTCATACAATTGTGATATGTGACCTCAATTATTGATTAATAATTATTTATGGCTGGTAATGCTTCTCATAACTGTTATATTTGATAGAAGACACTCATAACAGGAATATTCTTATGATTTCATGAAGTTTTAAGACGGTCAAAACCATATAATACTCTTTACTACTTTACTACTACTACATACTTATCACATAAGTATGACCATGTTTAATAATCGCGAGAAACAATTCTTTTCAGGATAAGACGAATTATAGGATAATCTTTCATAATCATATGTACAATATCTTAACTAAGACATTATCAATTGTGATAATTATAATTAATAACTAGTCACTATTATTAAACAAATTATTGTTACGTGCATGTTTCCTGGATGACCTCATTGGTTCGACCCTCAGTGTGAAGGTGCTGCAGCTCCGTCAATGTTAATAAAGTTTGAGTCTAAACTGCTGCAGTGAAAAACATCATCTGCTCAAAGTTTATCCTGCCTGAGTCTGAAACCAGAGATAATGTCATCCGAAGCAGTTTCTATTATTTTTATCATAATCAACAAACCACACACACAAAACACATGTGAGGACCCTCGCTGACATGATGTATTCATCACAACAAACTGAACCCAAGTCTCTGTTTCAACTCACAATCAACAGAAAACACTCGTAGGAAACATTTGAAGTTGTGGTGTACGTCCTCACAATGCAGAAATGTTCTAAATGTCCTTATGATTTATCAACGTCCTCACAGCATAGACATGTAAGCATGGAAGAAATGTCCTGAAAAACATCAATGAGCACAGATCTCCTCATAATGAGTGAATGGCCTCAAAACGTAGACCTGTCCTTATAAATCACCGATGTCTTCTTAATTTAATGTTCAAACGATACATACCTCCAACATACATGATCTCCAGGTTGATTTGTTCACTCTCGTGTCCATTTTTTCTACTTTTGAAGACTCACATTTTTGTTCCCTGATAAATTCTAACTTCACACTAACCACAAACACCATCAACTTATTTCTGGTTCCCTGACGTTAGAATAATCAACAACAATGGTGTGTATGAACTAAAACTGTGACATCAAGGAAAGACGGACACACTGATGATAAAGTGACGATAAGCTAGGTAAGAGTGTGTGTGTGTATAATGATCATGCATGCACAGGGACGTTTGGGAACACAGTTTCCAGAATGACGTAAGCATGGAAAAAACTGTGCACGTGTTATCTTTATATCAACCAAACCCAAATTAAGGACAGTGATGCCCAACAGCTATCAACCACAAAGAGGAAACACACTCATGTGTCGTATAGTCAGCAAGACTCCAGAAGATGAAAATTCATTCTAGGTTTTATGTAACAAATAATATAAAAGATGGGAGTTAATACTTTTCATAATATTTAGCTGACAATAGTTTTTTTTTAAATACTTCAGTAAACTTTTCAATGCAGGACTAGTAAGAGTATTTTTCACTCTGTCTGTGATGTAACGAGTAAAATGAATTGAAGAAAAAAGATTCAGACATTTTGGGAACAACAAACTATTTTAATCATAAACAGATTGATGATTGATTCGCAGAAAATTTCCTCTTTAAAGTCGTGGAAATAAATCAGAGTGAAACAAATCATCTCACCAATATTAATCCGTAATATAACAACTTATAGAAAAATAACTCTCACATTAAAAACAGTGCAAATCAAACAGGACAAACCTCAGGCCTTTAACGAGGATTCAATGTTTTAACGTCATGCAGGTGAATAAGAATCCAAAGAGTTTCTATTGACGTCTCTCGTATTAGCATCCCTTGGATCTTCACCGTTTCCAGACTCAGATGCAAATTGTTGTGAATTTCAGACTTCAGGGGCGTTAGAATGTGTATTTGTGGTTCAGGTGTTTCAGTGGGAGTTTCAGTGGAGAAAATACAAAGTCATTTCATTTATGTAAATAAATCCTTCCCTTTGAGTTTGGCTAATGTGAGCAGCTCTAACTTATCTGCTCTTTAATGGCTGCAAGCCAAATATCACCACCGTGTTACTGAAGATAAAAACCTAATTAACACATATCAAAGTAATATTTGATATATCGTCGGATAAGTATTTTTTATTATATTTCTGCAACTTATTTCAGTGCAAATCAAGAGTTTTGTTTAAAAACAGAATATGGTGAAAGGAAGTTTAACAGAGCTGCTACATAGATAAGTTCATATTAGCACATTAGCTGCGGAAAACAGTGAATCTAAATAAGTTTTATTTTGTTATAAACAACTTTCTTACTTCTATTATGTTCTGAAATGGGATTTTCCAAAATAAAAGCACATGATTGAGATCTTTGGATCCCGGAAGCCTGTTGGAGGAACATCCCAACAGACTCACATCAGGTTTTCCTGTTGGTGTAAATGGAGTCAAACCGGACTTAAAAGTGGTTTCTGTTCGTCTAGACACCAGGAGGAAACCAGATCTGAACCACAAAGAGTTTCACGTGCGAGTGTGTGTGTGTGAATGCAGACTGACAGGAAGCTAATTAGCATCGAGATCATGGGACAGTTTTGGGGGTTGTTGTTTTCACAGGTGTGAAAGAGTTTTCATTGGTCGCCTCTCACACCACCAGTCTCTAGACTCTTTCATCGGCAAAGAAACGCAGCTCTTTCCTTCCTCCATCATCCCGTCTTTCTTTCTTTACGTCCGTCCATCCCTCTTCAGTGTTTCTGACAAACATGAAGTCTCGTTTTTCCCACAGCTGACAACGACGATGACTTTGCTGACAACAAAGAGGTCGAAGACAACAAGGACGAGTGGCGGGAAGGAGCAGATGCAAACTTGGACTTTGCTGCTGCCGCCAGGAGCGATGATGACGATGGCGATGAAGGTTTGGCTCCAGGCTCTCGCAGCGTTCGGCAGCTCAGCCCATCAGCACAGGGGCACCGCTGGAACAGCTCCAGTCCGTGGTTCCCTTTTCGTTTGTGTCTCGTGCAAACCTGTCCCTCTTGCAACACCGGCTTGCAGATGCGAGTCCAGAAGTGACGGGCGCAGCACAAACTGTCCGAACAGTCGGACGAGCGCAGACAAGGATCCCCGACCTGACCTGCAAAAACATTGACATTGTCAATATGTGTCCCAGCAGAGTTTCAGATTCAAGTGAACAAAAGAGATTATTTAGACTAACAGGTAAAAACATTTCTTAAAGTATTTTTAGCAACAGGTCATGTCTCTGAAAGACCAAATGTCATAAAGACAAAGCGAAGGTGCAACTGGTTTTTAAGATGAATGTAACATTTGAGGACAAAATTAAACCAAATCAGTCAAAATAAATTCTTTGGGGATTTATTCACACGATGTTAAAACACTAGTATCTGAGTAAAGAAGACAAATGTTCACCTTTTCCGCTCGTCCCTTTCAAGTCTATTCTTCCTCTCTTTTTCCATCCTTTCTTTTTCGACAGCAAGCTCAAATCTCCTTCAGTGTCCGGGATCGTCTGAGTCATAAAACTGTCGACGTCAGGAACACAGATATCTGAAGGTGGAAAGAGGAAACACTTTAAAACTACAACTACATGATCGATATATGGAATCAAGAACTGTCTGATAGGAATACGTTGTAAAAACAGGATGGAAGCGTTTTACTGCCACAAGGACATAAAACAAGATCGAAGTAAGTCACGATTATTAGATTTTTCTTTCTTTTTTCCAGTGTCGCCTTTTTTTAAGTGTAATGTAAGAACTTTAACTTTTCAGTTTAAATCCTGAAATTCTACATCACACTTTTAAGTTTTTAAGAGAAATTCAGTCAACATTTTTACCAAAGACAAAATCCTGATTTTATATCATATAACGTAAATCCTAATCTTACTGTTACTGCAGCGGTTGCCAGGGCAACACATTCCATCCCTATGGCAGCGCCTCTTCCTCCTGTGACAAGTCTGGCAGCGTGAGTGGGCTGGGCCTTTGGTGGGGGCGTGGCAATAGCTCCCCTCACTGCACTCCAGGTCGCTCATGCACTGGTAGAGCTGCAGAGAGAGAGAGAGAGAAATATGTTTAAAACGAATCAAATCCTGTCGATAAAGTTTGAAACATTGTAACAATCATGTCGATAAAGTTTGAAACATTGTAACAATCCTGTTGATAAAGTTTGAAACATTGTAACAATCCTGTTGATAAAGTTAAGGTTGATGGAACAGAGACTTGTGCTGTAACTTTACTGTAGGAGTTACTTTACAGGGGTATTGTGCTTTTTACTCCACTACATGTATTTAAACTTGTTCCATTAAAAATACATACAATTGTTGATATATTGAATTCCACATGTTGATGCTGAGACAATGAATCAACTGAACTTTTAAAACAATCAAATATTTAACACTAAAATACTTTGAAAAACGACAAGTCTGGAAAGTAAATGATATTTATGAGTCAGAATTGAATTTGCTCTCTGAATCATTGGGCCCCTCAGATGAATGTGGTGGCCCTCTAAGTTGAGCTCCCGTAGAGCTGACGTCACGTTCACTCACCGTCAGGTCCAGACTCGGCTCCCACGTGCTCCGGTTCACCGGCAGCGCGTGCCCTTCCCTCAGGATCACCGTCCTGATGGAGTTGAGCCGGACACGCGCATCCCCGCCTCCAGAACACGCAGACAGCACGAACACGAGCATCAGCAGCAGCATGACTGAAACTAAACAGAGACAGAAACTTTCAATCTGGAATTCTTTTTACAAACTGAAAGAAAATCACATCAATAATCATCAGTAAATAAATAATATCTATCAGCTCCTGATATATCATCAAGTCCTCCTCTTCTGAGCTGCAGTTTTAAATAAAGAAGTTCAAGAATTTTAAACACATTTCAAATGAATCCACATGAATTAAACATGTGAGTCTTTTGTATTTTTCGGGGAAAGAGCAGAAATCTCACCTGTTTTTCTCTGGAACACGTTAAAGGTCAGAATTAAATCCAGATCGATGATGAAGAATTAAATCCAGAGTTTTTTCTCCTCGGTTTAAAAAGTCCGTTAAATATCATGAGAGTGAAGCTGGATCTTCTCCTCAGGGTGAAAGGGAACCAGTGGAGGAGTCATGTGAAGGTTCAGGTTCAGGTGAGATGCTCCTGCTTCTTCATCCACTTTATAAACTGCTGCCATTCCGCCCACAGGCCCCGCCCCCTCCACATCGATACCACCCCCCTCCTGCAGCCATCGATACAGGTGAAAACACCAGAACATGTTTGTTCCATTAAAATCACCGGGTTTGTTTCACTGCTTGTTTTCAGTAAGAACAAACACAGTCACAAGTTTTGAAATGTCGTTGGATTTACATCTGGGATCAGACGAACAAATAAAACAGGTTATTTTAATTTGAGATATGTGTAAAACATTTTAAAAACTACCTGAAGTTATGATGAGTTTAAAGTTATGATCAGTAGCAGAAATATTCTGATATCTAAGCCTCATTTTCAGATAACTGGAGCAGGTGGATGTGGGTTTTGATCACCTCTGATTAAAAAAAAACAAAAAAACAACTTTTCTATACATTCAAATCACAAAATGGAGAAAACAGGATCACGTGAGCAGGAAGTACTGAGTTTTCATTTGAGTTTTGAGTATAAACAAAAATAAAACAAGACGTTGTGAGATAAATTTGCTGTGTTACAGCAGCAAAAAGGGAAAGAAACAAGAAACTGTAAAGGATAGAAATATACACAGTGTAAACAAAATATTAGGAGTGGAACAATACTTCACATGTGATAATAACAGTTACATTAGTGAAATATTATTATTACAGTAGACGTACATGAGCCACAGTGTTATTATCTGTGACCGATATATTCAGATATTTCAGTCAAGTAACAGTATTTAATGAGCTCAAAATGTTTTGTATAAAAAATGTACAGGAAATGTGTTCGATCTGACTTCTTCACTGGCTTTAAGTCTTTAAGACCTTGTTTTCTTCTCAAATATTCGTGTGAATATTCTCAAATATTTGTGTAATGTTTAATGATCTTATGTTTTTATCTTTATTGTCTTTCTTTTAAATTCTATGTCGTGTCTTTGAGTTGCAAGCAAAGTCCTATAAAAGTAAAATGTATCATCATTATTATTATTATTATCAATATTAAAAGTATAAGTGCAGTAGTTGTGCACTAAGTTACCCAGCAGAACAGGTGATCACTGTTGTGTTTCTGCAGGTGTTGTGTACTTGTGTATATTCACAGTTCAGACAATCGCTTCATTCACAGATCAGTTTACCATGTTGTTCTCACCTGGAGCCACCTCTCCCTCCACCTCTGTCGGCTCCAGCTGCACAATGTCAGGACAACACGCTCCGGGCCCTCAGCCCGCTCAGCCAGGAAGTGGAGACACATTGTCTATTCTATATACAGCGGATGATCGTCTTTGTATAGAGTCATATAGGCTCGATGATTTGCAAAGAGTTTGCATTTGACCTTCAAAGGATCCACACCATCTGAAAAACACACACACACAGTTTTTGCATATTTCTCTATCTTGATGACAATTAAACTCACGACCTTTGTCAGCTAGATTTGACATTTACACACGCATGAAACTACTACACTGGTGCCGATAGGATCTGACCCACAATCATCAATGACAGGTAACACACACATAAAAACACACACACACACACACACACACATAGCACACACCCAGATAGGCTTGTAGATTAATTGTATTATGTCATCAGTATCACATTTGCACCTCTTATTCACACTAATTTCCTTGAATGTGTGTGTGTGTGTGTGTATGTGTGTGTGTGTGTGTGATATCAGTTTATCTAGAGTGAAACCTTATATTCACCATCTGTGCATCAGTGGAAGAAAGAAGAAGGAAAGTTCCCTTTATTTCATTCCTGTGGAGGAAAGAACATCATGTACTTTAGATCTTTTTGTGGAATCAACAATAAAAAAGAAAAGAAAGAAATACAATATTATAATAATATTAAAAACAACCACAAAATCTGTTCTTGGTTTTGCCTTGCATTTATTTTTGTTTGTATAAAATGTATTTAGAGATGCTCTTGAAAACTTGGTGGATGATTGTCTTATTAAACTCTGTGATAAATAATAAGAGTGAAGTGAGCAAATAGTTTTATAACAAACAAATATGAAAAGAAATATCACAGAGCGACACACAACAATAAAACATCCTCTCAAGTGAAACTAATACAACACACACACACAGTATCGAGGCTGCTGGCTGTTTCATTCATTAAATTGACCTGATAATACACAGAGCAAGAATCATCTATACACAAATACAAGAGTATGTGAATGTGTGTGTGTGTGTGTTTGTGTGTGTGTGTGTGTGTGTGTACAAATGGTGATGACTTGAGTTTGTATCAGATACCAGTCCACAGGATTCAAAATCTAAATGATAGATCAAAACTTAAAAAGTTTCCTTTGTGTCAACACTGCAGGACAAAAACATAATAATCCATCATTCATGGCATTGATTTCATTTACTTTTACACGACAATATTTTAGTTAAAATGACACATTACAAATAGTTTATTTATATATACACATGATACAATTTTCTTTTATACACTTCATAAAGTTTAGAGCTGGACCTGAACAACAACAAGCTGCAGGACTCAGGGCTCGAGCTCCTGTCTGCTGGACCAAAGAGTCCAAACTGTCAACAGGAGACTCTGAGGTCAGAGGTTTGATTCCTGCACTTTCCATAGATGACATATGGATAAACATACTTTGACTCTCGTGGTCATCCAGGACCCTGTATACTCTATCGAGACATAGTGCAGAAAAACTGACCTACATTAGATTCTTCAAGAGGTTTAGTCCAAACCGATGACTGTGTTGAAGATGCTCAGTGAACCTAAAATATCTCAGATACGGACGCTGCCATCTTGTGGTGGTGAATATTTACAACATAAAATAATTAAAGTGAATTCCTCTGCTAATGTTCCTGTTTTCTTTACCTCTTGTCAAACACAGTTTGAATAATAATAATCATTTGCATAATGACAACATTCAATCCATTTTGGAAAAAAGTTTAAGCTAGATTTCAAGTTCTGGGACAAAAGAAAAAGATAAAAAATGTTTTCACTGGGCACTTCGACGTTTGGTCTGAGCAATACTTCATTTACACTTAGCTTCTCTAAGTTATGTCCATATCTAATCAGAGTATCAGCAGGGCTGCCTCTCTGTCCTCTGACTCTTCCAGTCACTAAGGAGTTAAGTCGTCTTCCTGTTAGAAACCTGTTTGTGCTCGCCTCCCTCACATTCCTTCCTGTTACGACATTAGGACGGAGACGTTGCAGTTGTTCACTCCAGCATCATGTTTGTGTCCAGGTCGCTCTGCAGCTTCAGATTCTGCTGCTCTCCACACAAAACTCCACGAATCCACCCCGTGAGTTCAACATCTGGTTTCTATACCTGCTCAGAAACACTTCTGTTTCTGAAGACAACGTTTTTAGATATTACTAAACCATGTGTTCTGTGTTTTATCTCGCTCCAACTCAAAAGGAAGTGATGGCAAACTATTTAGGATGCAGTTAGAATGTTACATCATCACACAGCTGTAGGTTTAAATCTGTCTAAACATCAAAACTTCAAACTCTTAAAATGACTTTTCTACAGTAAACTACAAACTACCTGTAGCACTTCTTCTTCTGTTACTACCACTAGTAGCACTAATACTTTACTTCTAACATTACTTCTATATAACACAAATAACACTGATGACATCAAAACCACAACTGCTGAAGTTTTACTGCTAACGTTAGTTTTGCTTCTGCTGCTTCTGCTGTAAGACTCCGACATGACAAGACAAGCATGTGAGTGTGACAGAGAGAAATCCTTGTAATCTCTGTGAGGATCAGATTCAGGTTCGAAACTTGTAACAGAGATATTTCTGCACAAAGAGAATCTTCCTGCGTTACGGAGACATTTTTTGCATTTCAGGTGCAATTTACGAGGACAAGTCAGGATATGTCTTCAATCAATCAATCACGTTTTATTTGTTCAGACAGAAGTGAAATAGATGCTGCGTGTAACTGAACTAATCAACAAAATAACAGTATTCACTACATTAATTAGAAGGTTTAAATAGACCGTTTAATAAAATGGGTGTGTAGTGTAGATGATTGGGAGAGTGATGTCTTTCTCCTGATTGGAGCAGCGCAGCTCTAGTTGGCTTCCTGAACTAGCTCGCAGGCGTCGCTCCATTAGTGGTAGAAGATCTGGAGAGACATATTGTAAATGAAGCCGTCTTGTTGTCAGTGATAGTCCACGATCCTGATCCACCATCACAATCAGGATCCACGATACATATGTGATGTAATCATTTATTTTGTGTCTCAGTTCAGTTCTGTCTGGTCGACCTGCGTCTCCAGTTACAGCAGTGAACCACCGTCCAAAGGTAAACTCTCTGTGACTCCTTCTTTTCCAAAGTCACCTGAACGTGATGAAATAGAGCATTTGTTACAGTTATGATGTAAGATGATAAACCAAAGTTAAAGGTGTAAGTACTGTGTGTATCTCTCTCTCTCTCTCTTTCAGATGTGTCTCTTCATTACAGCCTGGGCCGCCCGGTCCTGTCGCTACGTCTCCCTGCAGGTCGACCGTGTCGCTTCACTTTGACGCCCATGTTGACCACAGTGGGCGACCTGATTCGAGACATCTCGGCAAAAGACCCCGGGATCCACAGCGCCGCTCTGCTGAATGGAGGTAACGCAAACTCATGTGAACTGCTGGACCAGCCGAGACCACACAAACACAAACCAACGTAAAGTCTGAGCTCTCTGAACAGGATCGAGAAGAAGTTTAGAAGCTCATCAATGTCCTCACCTTTAAAACAACATGTACTTACTATCGATTCATGTCTTCACTTTCTAAAATGTCCTCACAAGACGTTGGGCTTCAAATCGTCCTCACAAATATAGAAGAACAGGGATGAACGAATTATGAAAAACAATTAAATTAGTACATTTGTGTTTTCTTCCCTCAGATGGACAGAGAATCTCCTCCTGCACGTTTATGGAAACAGTTCTAAATAAAGATTTCCAGCTCGTCATCAATGGCGTCACATACAATGTTCGCTCTCTCGGACAAGGTGAATCCTGTGTGTGTCTCTAGAGGGCGCTATTAGAACACACAACTTATTTTGATACCTAAATCTGAAAATACACCAACACGTGCTTTTCCGTCCTCTCCCAGATTTAATTGATTGCTGACATTTAAACCTGTCTCTCTGTGTGTCAGGTGCGTCTCATGAACATGTGCTGGGTCCGGACGATATGAAGTACTTGGTCAAGCTCCTTCACACGGCTCTGAATGTTCCTCAGCAGCAACACGTCAAACACTCGGCGCTGCTGATCCAACGGGAACAACTACAACATCAGCTGAGGCCACTGGAGACTGTACTACAACATACTATATATCATAATATAAAATATATATATATTTACATCATATTTCCTATTATATCATCACATATATACACCATATATACTGTACACTAAACACTAAATACTATGTGTGTGTGCGTAGGTGAAAATCCAGATGGCGAAGGAGGCGGAGTTGAGAGCCTCCCAGCTGGGGTGGGCGGGGCTTGCCTACCTGTCCCTACAGGGAGGATTCCTGGGTTACCTCACCTGGTGATAAACACACACACATTCACCAACCTGACACTTCCAGTTGTACGACCCTCAGGACGTCTGTAATCATGTGTGTGTGTGTGTGTGTGTGTGTGACAGGTATGTGTTTGCGTGGGACATCATGGAGCCAATCACCTTCTTCATCTCCTGCACCACCAGCATGATCTTCTTCGCCTACTACATCCTCACAAAACAGGTAGAACCATGTTCGTATGTTCGACCACATTAGTGAGGACATTTTATCTGGTCCTCACTTTTTCAAAAGGCCGTTTGAGCTCTAAGGCAAAAGTTACTGTGTGTGTGTGTGTGTGTGTGTGTGCAGGAGTTCATGTACACGGAGGCGAGGGATCGTCAGTTCCTCCACTTCTTCCACCGCAGAGCGTCTCAAAAGAAATTTGATCTTCAAAAATACAACAAGCTAAAAGATGAGCTGGCCAAGGTGATGAACACACACACACACACACACACACACAAACAAACACACACACACACACAAGTAATGAGTGTAAACCCCTATAACTTCAGAGTAAGATAATGTCATGGTGACCGAGACGTCTCTCACAAGCAAGCTAACAAAAAATGCAACAACTAAGGCCATCGGGTATGTGCTCTGTTGCCTCTGTAACCACACCCACCTGTGATGTCACAGCATACTGTCACGCCTTTGAGTACAGAGTGACATCACAGCAGTGAGGTGAGCTTGAATGAAACTCTCTAACTAAGGATGTGTGTGTGTGTGTGTGTGTGTGTGTGTGTGTGTG